TTTGGTTTAAAACAACATAAATTTATTATCTCATAATTTCCATGGCTCAGGAAATTTATTATCTCATAGTTTCCATGGCTCAGGAATCTGGGTGCAGTTTAGCTGAGTCCTCTGCCTTAAGTCTCTCATGGAGTTGCAATCTAGGTGTTAGCCAGGGCTACAGTCTCATCTGAAGACTTCACTGAAAGAGGATGTGCTCACTCATGGGATCATTGGCAGAATTTTCTCATGGTTATTGAACTGAACACGTCAATTTCTTACTGGTTATTGGCTGATGGGGGGCGCTGGTGGCATAGTGCCTAAGGCATTTGACTGCTAACCAGAAGGCTGGAGGTTCAAACCCACCAGCCACTCCTCAGAAGGAAGGTTGGGCAATCTACTTCAGTAGTGATACCGCCTCGGAAACCCAAGGAGGGGTTGCTATGAGTCGGATCTGACTCTAAGGCTGTGGGTTTGGTTTATTGGCTGATGACCTCCTCCAGTTCCTTGACACATGGACTATTCTATAGAACAGCTCACATCATGGAAGCTGGCTTCCCTCAAGTGTGCAATTGAAAAAGCAAGAAGGGTGCCTCAGTGTTTGTAACCTAATCTCTCATCACTTTTGCCATGCTCACCATATCAGTTGATAAGCTGTAATATGTAGCTGAAAGTTAATGATCTCTGACAGAGACGTTCTCACTTACTTTTTTTTTTTAAATAACAATCTGGTTGCTTTGTGCCTGTTCTTTTCATTCTTTAGGAGGAATTACTCATGACACTTTCCAGAAGGAGCTCATGTGCTTTGACCCTGATACTGACAAATGGATCCAAAAGGCCCCAATGACCACCGTCCGAGGTCTGCATTGCATGTGTACAGTGGGAGAAAGGCTCTATGTCATTGGTGGCAATCACTTCAGAGGAACAAGTGATTATGATGATGTCTTAAGCTGTGAATACTATTCACCTATCCTTGATCAGTGGACCCCGATTGCTGCCATGCTAAGAGGGCAGAGTGATGTTGGGGTTGCTGTCTTTGAAAATAAAATCTATGTGGTGGGTGGGTATTCCTGGAATAATCGTTGTATGGTAGAGATTGTGCAGAAATATGATCCAGATAAAGATGAATGGCATAAGGTATTTGATCTCCCAGAGTCCCTTGGTGGTATCCGGGCTTGTACACTCACAGTTTTCCCACCTGAAGAAACTACACCATCACCTTCTCGAGAGTCCCCTCTTTCTGCACCTTAAGAACATCGCCGAAACTAAGATGCTGTAGTCCTATCTTTGCAATGTGTCATGGATTCTCTTCTGCCCCCCACCCCATTAGTAGTATATGTTAGAATTAGCCTCCAATCATCGATACAGATATTGGGAAAAAAGATGATGTTGATGTTATTTGTGCTGTTTGTTTGGCTTAGAATGTTTATAAAGTGGTAACACAAACATTCTGGATTGTATCCCATAGAAGCTGATGTTTAACATATAAAAAAAAAAGGTATTGTCTATAAAATATTCATTCAGTACTTTTCTTGATGCTGTGTACTGAGTGTAAGATATTTGTCATCTCACATTAGAAAGACCAGTAAGTCAAGTTGGAGGTGAATTATAGTAAATGTACAACTGTGCTCACTAGGCTTCAAAGTAAAAAGTTTTCCTTTCATCTTTGACTGTAAGATGTCAAAGGGAGGCAGCCTACTCCAACAGGAAACAACACACAAAAGGTTGCCAACTCGCATGAGCTACCTCCCTCTTCTCATGAAGTATTTTTGACATATCTGTCAACCCACCTGACTGTGTGGGTGCATTGAGAACACATACAGTTTCTTAGACACACAGGAGAAATAATAAATAAAATTTGCCAATAGTAATGAAAACAAAAAACACAGCATAACCAGCCCCTCTACCTATAGCGAAGGGTTTGGAGCTTTTGAAGTATGTGTAAATTCATAGACACACATACAGATACGAAATAATGAAGTGTACGGTTTTTAAAACTGAATGACACTTCAAATAAATGTGAAGTTTTTAAAAAAATTCTTGCAAAAAGCAGCTTCTATGAAAATGGGGATTCAGTGTGTACATATAATGGTACAACCATACTGAATTGAGGTGGATAAGGGCTAGAAATTTTGAGCAACAAATTTTACCTTCAAAAATTGTATTCTCCTCCTTCTCCTTTGGTGTTGAGGTAACTTAAGTGTTGTATGTATTCTGTATACTCTGAGTTCATAAGGTTGTTTAGCACAAAGTGCAGCAGCTGGACCTGGAGAGCTGCTTTTGCTCAGTGAATTCCACTTTCATGTTTTATCTTTTTTTTTTTTTTGGTAAATAAAATATCATTCAATGTCATTTTGGTCTGAAGCATCACATTATTGTCTGATTCAACTTCTTTTAATTAAAGACCTCTTTTTTTGGTATGGCAGGGTTCAAGAGATCAGAATGTAGAGCACTGAGCAGTGTGGATGAATGGGTATTTCTGACTTTCGTTTAAGGAAATAAAGGTTGACTAGGTCTAACTTCATTGATCAGAACTCATCGCTGGTTGTGTATATGGGGCTAGTTTGTGTAAAATGCTACTGACTCTTCTTCATCTCTGGAGAAGAACTGCTAGACATGTCTAAAACAAGGGCCAGTAAGTTTCTGAGGTCAATTTTCCTGGTCTTCCAGAAGATCTGTTTCGCCTAATGAGAAGAGATTGGGTAAAAAATGACCTCAGATTTGTTCTTGACCCAGGATCCTAAAGGAAAAATGTTTTTGGAAAGGATTATTCAAGAATTATATTAGGACCATTTGCATTATCTGTCCTACTTGATCTGCAGATGACCAGATTAAATCTCACCAAAAATTTGGAGGCTGTGCAAAAACGACTAGGGTGTCACCATCTTTCTTCACAAGTGGGTAGTTAGCAGTGAAGATGTCACTATCTCTGTCTTGAGTTAAACATAAGGAAGAAAATAATTTTTTTTTAACAGAGATACTTTTGAGCATTGGATGAACTCTGGTATGAGTTTGAAAGACCCCCTTAAACAAGAAAGAGTTGGCTTTTTAAGTCAGTGCAACTTGTCCAGTGAATTCAGTCCTCTGCTTATAGGCAGAGTGCCTTTAGCCATTTGCACACAGTTAACTCCTGCCTGAACTTGGGGGCGCGTACAAGATAGACTAGACTAATGATAACACAGTAGTCCCAGGCTGTGCTTCTTGGTTGGCTAGCTTTCCTCCCAGCAGCAAAGGTTCTTTCCTTCTTGTGGTCTCTCCCACCTCTAGGTCCTTGGAGTCTTCTCCATTACTGTCACCAGAAGAAAACAGAGAATTGCAGGTTTGAGGGCTGTAGGGGGTCAGGCTTGAAAGAGACGTCCATCACTTCTACCTACATTCTATTTGCCAGAAATTAGTTCTGTAGCTACAAAGGTAACTGAAAATATATGGCTGTGTTCCTAGAAACAGGAGGGAATAGGGTTGGTCATCAGCTAGAAGTTTGCCATGGGGGATAACACAAAACATTCCCAGTTCTATTGACAACTTACCTTTTCTGCATCCATACCATATGTTATTTAGACTAGCAAATAATGTCACATATTACTGCAGGTGCTATTATTAAACAGCTGGAAAATGGTTACACATTTTATGTCATAGTAAATTGGCTGGTTTTCATTATAAAAAAAATATCTGCCAGCCATTGGTTGGCTTTGCAAGCATGTCTCCCATTTACCCTTAATGGGTTCTTGGTCTATTTCAAAAAAGGAATTAGAGACTACCTTTTGCTTTGATTCAGTCAAATCTCAAAAGCTTCATAATATTCCTTCATGGTCAAGGTTGCTAGGGTGAAAAGGATGAAAACAATCTACTTTGCCTAATTCTATATTTTTTAAAAAATACATCTAATAATCAATTTTCCCCTGAAAAGTGAAAATATGACTTGAAACTGTTTCCTCTCTAAATTACCTCTAAAT